CGTGCTGCAGGACCGAGGCCGAGCTCGCCCCGGAGTGGAGGCTGAGCGCCCCCGAGGAGGGGAGGGCCCAAATGACAGGGTCCTATCCCGGCAACAGCCGCAAAGAGCGTCAACCAAGGCTGGTCCCTGGTGTGTGTAGAAATCGTATTTCACCAGGCTCAGGCTCCGCGGGCCTGTCACGGGCCGGCGCACCACGGCGCCTCCAGCTGGCTGCTCAGGGAATTAGCTCCTTGGTTCCCTGGACGCCTCCCTCTCGCCGGTGTCTCCCCATGTCCTCGCTAGTCCAGACCCGTGTCACTCATGGACCTCGGCGTCCCCTTAGGACGTGCCCCCCAGCAGTGTCTGAGCCCCCTTCCGGGGGAGAGGGGGGGGGTTATCCTGCTTGCACTGTAGTGTCCTCCCCTCCCCAGGGAACACCCAGTTCCCCTGCCCCCACTTTGCCTCAGTGACCCACTGCCAGCCTGCACCTAGCCCCTGCAGTCTGCAATGGCCACTCAGCCCTGGCCCAGGGGGCCGGGCCTGCTGCCCTGCCACCCGGGAGCCTCCCCAGCCCTGTGCTACCTCCAGGAAGCCTCCTGCTTCCCTGGCAGGCAGGTCCCTCCTGCTCTCTCCAGCTGGGCCCTCGTTCACCAGAGTCAGCCCTGGCTCCGCGCTGGGGTTTGCCCTTGAAGGGCCCCATTTCAGATCCGCACAGATGCCAGGCTGGACACAAGACCTAGGAACTTGCCTTGGGTTTCCCCAGCGGCACCTCCCACACTGGTATTCGGACGCCCTGCCCCCAGGGCTGCCAGGTGTCCGCTGGTCACCCGCACGGCCGGTATTTTCGCCTCCCGTCCGGTCAAACAATCGAGAGAATCCCGGACGCCTGAGCTGCCCTGAGCTGCCCTGTGTCTTCTGAATTTTTCCCCAGCCAGGAGGTGAAAATGCACCTGGCAACCCTACAAACACACAACACCCCGACCCCAGCCCCCATGCTTACCTGGTTCCCCAAGGCTGCCGGCACAAAATGGTTGCAGGCCAAAAGACCTAGGGGTAGCAATGCTTCCCCTGGGTCTTAGTGCTCAACCTCTCCCCTGTGCCTAGCCCTGCACTCACTCTTAAAGGGGACATGCTGTTCTAATGCTGGGTTATTTAAAAAAAAATGTTTTGGCTTAATAAGTCCTTGGTGTCTTTTTTTTTTTTACTCAGCAACTTTGATCCCCCCCTCCCCTTTTTTTTCCCTTCAACAGAATTTTTTCCCGGTGTTTTTTGAGGGGGGAGGTGGTATTTGGTATTTTTGTTTCAACCATCTGGCAACCCTACTGCCACGCCAACAACGCCCGGCCCCGTGGGGCCCAAATACTCTACTCACCGGCGGGGGCATGGACTCCTGGCTCAGGTCAAATGGGAGAGGGCTCCAGTGGTCTGCTCAGCCCCAAACCTGCTCTAGGGCAGCAGAGCGGGCAGTTTGGGCACTGCAGAAGTCCGCAGGCTCTGGGGCCTGGCGTGAGGTGCGGATCGCGGGGCTGGAGCAGTGGGGCACTGTGGGTTTGGACTGCGCGGGGGCCAAGGGTTGGAAGTGTGGGGGGGTCCAGGTCAGACCGAGGTGCTTTGCAGACCTGGGGGAGGTCGCGGAGTTGGCCCTGCAGCGTGTGTGGGGCAGGGAAGGGGGGGGACGCAGCTGGCGAGCTGCCTGGCGCAGGAAGCCCAGAACACGGAGTCTGACAAACGGCACCGGAAGCCAGGCTGGTTCCGGATCCACTGGCGCGGCGGGCGCGG